GAGAATGTTTGTTCTACCTTCAATCATAGGAAAAAGTCTGCTTGCGTATCTTTTCTTCCTATTGAAAACTTCCCTATCTCTTGTGGTTTCAGGAATGAACCAAGAATCGACCACGGTGACAGTCTACAGGCAAACCCGCCCATTGAAAAGCTTGGAAAATCCACTGCCGTCTTCCCAGAGCGGTGCTCCCTGGCCACACTCGGCCGTCGTCTCCCTACCTCGGTGGAGTTCCTCTGGCTGCTCTCATAGGGCTTGCTTTTGGGGGGCGGCGGGGGTGGGACAGCAGCAGTCACCAGTCCATCTATCTGCAAAGACGGGGAGCCTAGAAATGACACGAAGTACACAGGGAGGAATGTATGAAAGAATCTCACAAAAATTCTGCTTCCCACTGTAAGCAGACCTAAGCACTGGCCTAAACCAACCCAGTCAATCAAATTGCTAAAGCCACATTCTGGTTTTTTTTTGTTGTTTTTTTTTTTTTTAATTTGTTTAGAGACAGGGTCTTGTTCTATTGCTCAAGCTGGAGTACAAGGGCACAATCATAGCTCACTGCAGCCTCGAACTCCGGGGCTCAAGCAATCCTCCTGCCTCAGTCTCCAGAGTAGCTGGATCTACAGGAGAGCGTCAACCATGCCTGGCTAATTTTATTTTTTGTAGAGACAGGGTCTCGCTATATTGTCCAGGCTGGTCTCAAACTCCTGGCCTCAGGCGATCCTCCCGCCTCGGCCTCCCATAGCGCTGGGATTACAGGCGTGAGCCATAAAGCCACATTCTATGGTTTCTGTGGACAGAATGAGAAAGACTTCTCACACCACATGACAAAGGTAACACCCTTCACTCGCCAGAGAGCTTCACAAGTTTCACAAGATCTTCTGAAGTGAAATTGCTATTTTTTTGTTCAATGTTTTTTACTATTAAGCTGAAGATGAGAATAATTTCGGGAACTTCTGGCAGTACTCTGTTCTCTGATATTCCCAAGCACTTAGGAAAATATCCAGTTCTCTAGGAAACTACCTGATTATCTCTAAAACTTGGTTGATGCTTGTCTCCCATTTGGCACTAACAGATTTATGCCTCCACTGTGCCTCTGTACAACGGGTACATCATAATTCTCTTCAAGGGTTATGCACTCTGCTTCCCCAAGCTAGACTGGAAGTAGTATACGGAACCGGAATACATCTTGTCCCTACACAGGTCTAACTACCCAATTGTTCGTTCATAAGTTACTTGCGTTCTGTCTGGCCCTAGTCCAGATCTACCTCATTTATACCTTTGCAATTGGAAAAGGGAGATTAAGACCCTTTGGATCACTCTACCGAACGGTTTAATGAGTCCTCGTGGCTCAAGCCCTCCTGGCTAAACTCCAGTCTAACTGTATCATACACTCATACCTCCACCACGGGGTCGGACCAACCTCACGGTGGTCTTACATACTTTGTGGCTGGTTCGATTAAAACTGCTCAGATGCATAAGCATAGTCTGTTCCCTAGTAAAAAAAGAATACAAGGGATACAGGAGAACTTACTTAGGGTCCTGGTAGCTTTAGGGGTGAGTGGAGGCGGGCTCAACGGCGGCGTCGACTGGGGAGGCGAAGAACTGTGAAATGGCGTCAGCCGATTGTCCACCAGCTGGAGACTCTTTGGCCTTTGTGCTTTCCTGGCCGTGCTCTAGGACCAGGGAGGAAAACACAGCAGAACCGTCTCACAGGGAGGAAGGCTGAGCTCAGCAAGGCTCCGGCAGCCTTGTCTACTGATCAGAAACCTGTAGAAGGACCTAATTCCAGGAGCCATTTTTATGCTTCCCACATTGTCATCTGGTGGGCACCAGGGCGGAGACCTAAGACCACGGAACCACAGGTTATTTCCTGGCTGGCCTTGGACTTGACTTTGACTGTAGTTGGACTACATGCCATTTATGTTGGAAATAAGCCACCTTGATTCTCAAGGAAAGTTGGTCTTGCCACATTAATAATTTGATGTGGTGAATGGAAGAAAAAGTACATTTAAAAAAAAAAAAACTGAAAAATAGAAACGTGATGTTTGGACTGACTCATGGAACACAGTGGCGAGAACCACAACTCCAAGCATCAACCGCATGTTTACATTGTGGGTCCACGATTTTGCGCCAATATTGATTTAGAGACTCGAAATTCTCCGTATGTGCTTTTCTCACCACAATCTACAATCTGACACTGCCGCAGGCCGCTGTGTCCTGGACAAGCCACAGCCAGGCCTCTATCTGGTGATGCACCGCCACCGAGGGAATGGTGACGTGCCTGGGGACAGGGTGGGTGGTGGCAAGCCTCCAGTACACTGATCTTTTTTTTTCTTTTCTTTTTTTCTTACCATCAGGTCAGGTTCTGGATCCTTCTCTGCAATGACCTGGGACTTGCTCAGATTCCAGTCTTTCCTTTTAAACTTGCTGATCCGGTTCTCGCCGTCCTCTCTGAGGGGCAGGTCTTCAACTCTGGCACCTGACGAGGCCCTGCGCTCCAAAAGTGGCTCCAGGATTGACCTGCCAGCCAGGAACAGGGACAAAAATCACAAACTTGGATCACCTGGCAGTCAAAATTCACTCCACAAGGCCTGGAGGTTTTGACTCCTCATATCACTAATCCTGATCCATGACTTCGCTCTCAGGGTCTAAATCTAAATTTTCAATCCCAACTGAATAAACATCTCAAAGTGTAAATGTACAGACATGAGACCATCAAATGATTAGACGAAAATATTAGTGAA